AGAAATATGCTTGTAGTCATCATCGGAGCCGATAAGATCGTGACCGGACAAGTCATATTCCAATAACCGTGATTCCATTAATTTGAAAAATGGTTGATGCTGCAGAGTAAGGTTGGTTTTCATATATCTGATCTAAAGTGAAAGAGTTGAATAAACTCATTGATTTGTCTTATGATTTTCCACTGGCAGATTGGGAACACCTAAAATAATAAAAAAAAAATGTGAACAACATACTCTAATCATTAAGTCAATGGAAAAAATGTTTAGTATATTTGACAGATATTATGCGTGCATGTGTTTATTAATTATGGTTTCCACTTCAGAAATATAAAAAGTTTATAATATTTATTTTATTTAGAAATAATTAAAAAATTTAATCAAAAGATTTTAAAAATAAAAGGATAAAAATGTTAAAAAAAAGTAAATAATATATTGTTATTCGGGATAATAGGATCCTAAACTTAACTTTAAATTTTAATTTTGACCTCCAACTTTCATAATGCACAAACACACACTTTAACTATTCAACTTTTAAATAAATAAACACATGAGTCCTATATGGTACAATACATGTAGAAAACCACGTAGGACAAAAAATGACATGTAGGACACATGTGTTTATTTGTTCAATTTTATACAAATTTAACTGTCTCCTTGTGCACGCACAAAGTTGAAGAGCGTAAATATAATTCGAAGCCAAGTTAAAAAACACAATTATGTATTATGCCTTGTTATTCTGGCAACTGAAAAGAATTCTTTCTTTCTTTCTAATTTAGCTTCTCGATTATTGTGTTTAATGTACACGAAATTATTGAACAATGGAACGCAGATTGCTCCGTGTATTTTGAACTTGGAAGATAACTCTCCCCGTTAACTTCGTTTTTCTGAAAATTAATTTAATTAATTTTTAAAATTAATTACATTATGTTAATTCGACAATTTTTTTATAAAAAAAATATTTAAAAATTATATAAATAATATTATATTTTTACATATTAATATAATAAAAATATACATCATAAAATATACCTCACCTACCCACTCAAATTTCATTCCAAAATGGTTGCGTATATTTAAGGTCAACCTTAAAACCTGAAAGGTGAAAGCTACTTAGATATGAATTAACTAATTTATAGGCAATAATTCCATGTTTGCCGCGTTTATCAGTACTTTATTGTCTTTTTAAAATTATTTTATTTTATTTATTTTTCAATCTATTTTTTTAAATATAAACTCATGAATAATAATAATAATAATAATATTTATTCCATAAATTTATATAATAACAAAAAAATTGCATTAAAAATTTAGCTCATCTATATCACTGTTGTTAAAAAAAAAAGTTCATTCATGTCAATTTTCTAAAGGAAAAATTTAATATATGGTAAACGAATTTTATGAAATTACATTCCATGGCTATAGTTTACATAATTACATTTCATGGATATAGTTTAGTTTGTTAGATGACTTTAAATTTGTATAGAACGTTTTTTTTAAAATTAAATTTATACAAAATAAAAATATTTTTCAATAAATAGTAACAATAGCACAGAATGTGGTAACAATAAATTCACATAATCCCATGATTTAAGCAAAACATTCAAAATCAAATATATATATATATATATATATTATTGTATATATTTGAGAAATTGTATATAATTTTTATACAATATTTGTATGTATTTGTGTTTTAACTGTATATGACCATCACAATACGTATTATTTTTTTTTTTGGGTAATTTGTTTGTATACAATATTTTATTATGTTCCTATTTTTTCTTTTGTAGATATTAAGGAATTTGTATGATGTACAATAATTTTGGTATATGTATTATAGTTATATATGTACATCTGTGATTTCATGTTTTTTTTTTTTATAAAAAATATTAATGATTAAACTGATTGTATAATATCATTTGTTAATTGTATATATGGTAAGCTTGAAATCTGTTTGTATATTTGAGTGTGTAACGTTTATATATACAATATTCTATTATGTTCATAATTTTGTATATGTATAATAGAGTGATTTTAACAAATTTATTTTATACAAAATTAAATAATTGTATACAAATTCTATTGCCTCGTAAGACTTTGTATATGTTACCTTAATATACAACCCACTATATATAGTTAACTTTAGTAATTGGTATACAACTAATAGAATATACAATTAAGAACTATCTCATAATATTTTGTATATATTACCTTAATAAAAAATCCACTATATACATAACTTTGTAATTTGTATATAAATTACATTACCTGATATTTTTGATATTCTTCAGATTTGTCTCGTTCTGATGAGGCAGATTCAATCTCCTCTGAATCAATGTTTATGATTTTTCTCTTACTTCCACCTTCAACAATCTTAATGCCGCTAGATTTCGCGTTGTTGATGACTTTATGAATTACCATTGGGTCATTTTTTTCATGGATCTCAATTCTTCAATAGATTGTTGATTTTGAACTTGTTTATGTTTTGCCATAAAATCTACATTGACCCCAAAATCCCGAGTTAACCCAATTGAAACGAAGGTGGATTATCAATAACGTTGACATGCAATGATATACCTCTCGTAATTCTCATAAATGGAGAGGAATCATCCATTCTGATTTTGAAAGACATGTAATTTGATAAGTAATAAAGATATATGAAAAAACTAACCATCATACTACATATACAATTGTTGAAGAAGAAATCAAGAAAAAAAATTTGGAATAATGCACAAGTACCTGCTCAAGCTATGCCCGAAATCTCATAGATACACTTATACTATATAAAGACCCTATTACCTCCCTGAATTTATTTTATTAATAATTTTCTACCCCTTTTTGGCCTACGTGGCACTATCTTTTGGCATAACGTTGGTTGACTTTTTTTTTTCAAACTAGTGTCACATAGGTCGAAAAGGATTAAAAAATATAAAATAAAATCAAAAAAATAATGTAACCTTAATATTGTATAAATATATCTCTATAATTTCGAATATAAATTAAAAAGGTACTTACGTATTTTTCCTAAAAATAATAAAATACGTGTCCAATCAAATATACGTGTAACTGAAAAGAAGGGACGTGAATCTCGTAAAATGCCTTCACAATTAATGATGGATCTGTCCATCTGTATATTAATTTATGGTTCCCACTTCCTAGACACTTTGATTATCATGGCCGAGTGTAACACTAAATAACATGAAATTAAGTATCTTATTGTATTTTTATTTTTGGCCAAATACATATGCAGATTCCTAAAGTTGTTGGGTTTTTTCTCTCATGTACTTCAACTACGTCATTTCCTATTGAATCATTGAATTCCCATAATTTGTTTCCTTTAAACAAACAATGTTGTTTGATGTGGAACCAGATTTATGAGGGGTATTGCTAGAGGATACATATATTGTTCCACAACTCATTAGTCCAATTGATTGTGAAAATGTTCGAGAATAATTGTGTTTTACTTAAGTCATTTGAACACATTAGAAAACAATGAGATTAACACGGTTTGTATTCATTCCTTCAATTAAAATTATTATAATTCGAACACAATTAAAGGCATTTACAATAGAAAAGCCGATCAAAATCAACCAACAGTGTTTTAAAGGAATAAATTATGGGTGGTTCAATGATTCAATAGAAAAATGACTTAGTTAAGGTACCCGAGGGAAAAAACCCAACAAGTTTAGGAATTTGTTTATGTATTTGGCCTTTATTTTTAGTATTTTTTAACTAATTAAATATGAATTAATTAATTTGATAAATAAATATATATTAATTATTATTTCTATTTTATTTTATGTGGCATAATTTAACAAGTACGATTTTTAAAATTTGTGATCTAAAATAATCATTGAATATTTGTGTAGTGATAAATTGTTTCATCAAGGAAAAAAAATAATTTTTTAGTTGAATTATTTTCAATTATAGTGGAAGGACATTTTAAGGGCACAGAAAATGAGACAAAATGAGTACTTAGTTTCGGTGTTGGTTAAATGTAGAATTCCAAAACTAATAATTCTCAAGAATGAAATAGAAAGAACAAAGTTATTTATATATCATTTTTGTAAAATGATAAATGTTAGAAACAAAAAACAAGAATGACACCTTGGCTAGAGTTAGTAAAAAAATGAATCCAAACATAGATAATTGGTTTAATCCGTTCAGAATTTTAAGGGTTGGACTCAACATAATTTGAATTGGGCTCAATTTCAACTCATTCAAGCTTAACCCATTTGAACAGAGTTCTCGATTTAGCCCAATTCCATCTACAATTTCAACCCCTTTTAAAACTTTGTATTAAGATATGTTCCTATATTGAAGGTACAAATTATTATCTAGTTAACATCTTTTAGGATTTATCTATCCATCTTTTACTTTTTTAACAAAAAATTCTTGAACAGAAATATAAATTGTAATTATAAATGTTAAATATCAATATGTTAAATTATTGAGATTAATCGGATCAAATTGGGCGGATCAAGAGCCAACCCATTTTTTAGCCTATTTGAGCCCAAAGTAAACTTCGGTTGGTCAACACCCAACCGGTTTCTATTCAACTCATTATAATATTTCTAATTTCAACTCAACCCGCCATCTGACACCCTAAGCGCCGTAAAGCGAAAAACATATATTTCATCAATTTATTAATTGTTTTCTCGGGAAACAAAATTGGTTGGTAATTAAAATTTAAAAAGGAAAAAACCAATATCTTAGGGGAGATTTTTAAATCCACTTGGGTCAAAATCATGATACTAGTAACTTTTAACTACTTGTTGCAAACCTTTTGCAAGTATCCAACTCAAACATGTGGAAGAAATGATGGTGCTTTAACAAATTTGACCTCCAATACATAGGAAAATAAGTGCTTCCAGTTATTTTTTTATAGGATGAAGGATCTTCTACTAATAATCTTTGAAGATAATGACTTTGACATGCCAAATAATTTGAAGTGAAAAGACAAATCATTTGAACAAAAAAAGAGTAGAAGTTATACTATATATATGAAATAAAAATAACCAAATTGTCATTTGCTCACATTATGCAAATCCAGCCTGTGGAAAAATCTTCTTTTTATCACACCAAAAAGGTAAACCCAAAATTTAATGGACTCAAAAATATTAGCTGTGTGAGGCACCTAATAAAGTTTTTTTTCAGCGCTTAATTAAGCCGTTGTGAAATTTGGGATTTGGAGGTTTTTCTCTGTTTCTAAGTCTTGACCTCCCCAGATTCGCATCCGTTCTGTTGTCTGCTCAACCTGCATTTTCATTTTCTCATTACTACTACTGAACACTTACTCATACTGAATGCACTACTTGTTGCGTATACAGTTATTTTGTATCGAGGACGTTCAACATCAAGTGTTCTGGAGTTTAAAACCATTATGTCACATACCTCTTTATTCCAGTCAATTCTGTAGAGTACAATTGAGAGTAGTAGTGTTTGCAAAGCTAGTCCACCTATCATTCCTCCCCATAGTCCCTTCAAGAGAAAATCCAAAACCGCGGTGTACATTAATGTATATTCATTTCATATACTAGTTTGAGAATGGAAGTTTTGTTTACCATGACTCCGAAGTTAGCCACATAGCCAAGAAGATATCCGAGAGGAATACCAAAAATGTAGTAAGAACCCAAATTGATGTAAGCTACGAGACCTTGCCATCCGCCTCCAACAGCAACACCTACAAGCAAAAGTTGGTCCCAGTAAGATTGCTGTGAGGACTATCGAGGAGTAAAACTCTCTTTGGAAACAGAACATTTTTAATAAAAGCAACACCTGATATCACAGGCTGAACACTGTTGAGAAGCATTGTTAACCCAAGAAACCAAGCAAGCTCAGAAACAGCTCGTTTCAAAAGCTCGCTATCGGTGAATAGAATGGCTAGATGACTTCTTAATGCAAGTACTACAATCATGCAGAGTATCCCAATGAGAAGTGACTGAAACACTGTAACGTATACACTACATTTGGTCGCCCTGGCACGTCCTAGCCCAAGCTCATTTGAGACCCGAACACTGCGAAAACAACAATACATTAACTCAAAACTCACACACAAATGAAGTGCATATTTGTGAAGCTTTAGGACTTCATTACCTTATGGCAGCATTGACTCCAATAAAAAACATTGCTTCCCATCCATCGACATTCATGCTGAAAGATGACAACAATTGACATGAATCACGAGCTCACACAAAACAATTGACATGAATCACGAGCTCACAAAAATTCATCTCATTCACAAAAAGAAAAATAACACAAACTTTCCGTTGCCCGTTTGAGTTGTTCAAGCCAACCAAATACACAGTTTAAGCTCAACTTGCCTACCCTGACTGGATGTTAGGTTGCGTTTTAACGAGCTTAAGCACTGCTATCTTATGCTAAATTTCTAAATAAATGGGAGAGACACAAGACTCACCAAATCGAGAGGGCTCCAACTGCAGTAACTGCATCTTTGAGATGACCAGTGAGGAGAATAATACTCACCATATACCAGGTTTCTAGGCATAGCATAACAGCCGATTCAATAGACAGTCTAACAAAGGCCCAAATCTCATTGAATGCAGACCAAGACCATCCCTTCCATCCATCTTTGCACCAAAAAACTACGTAAGCAAATTGAGCAAGTGCATTGACCCAGCCTACAAGATTAAAGGATATAGCTGCCCCGGTCAAACCCCAATTGAATACATAAATGAAGAGCCAAAGGAGAATAGCATGGAGTACGAGAGCCACAAAACCAATCCAGGCCAGCACACCAACTTTACTCTGGGCTTGAAGAAATTTTGAAGTGGGAATGTTAACAGACAGGGAATATAACTCGGGAATGGTTAACATGGCAAACTTCCCAGCAACAACAGCAATATCATGATCTTGGCCTAGGAACTTAAGTATAGGAGTCGCGAAAACATAGATTGGTAAGAGAAGGAAGCTACTCAGCAATAGAATTATCATTGAGCGTTGTGTGTAAACTCCTAGCATGTGTACTTGCCCAGCACCAAATGCCTGTCCACAGAGCGTCTCCAGTGCACTCCCCATGCCTATCTACACATAGATTACATATGCCCATGTAAGAAACTAAGGGATCATAATAACAGATTGAGAGTTCTGCATTACTGATACATCGTTCCATTTGTAACATAATTCTCAACTAGTTTAACAATTTATTACTCCACACAATCCAATTTTGACTATATTAAAGCTCAAAATATCCAATGCAATGTAATATCTTTCTCGAAATAGAATGTGAAATAAGATTACATTTGATAACAATAACTAAATTGTTGAGCTTAACCAACCCAAAGATACTCTTTAACTATTTTCTCTTTGGGTCAAACCCGCACAGATTTTGCTAATTAACCAATGTTTTCAACTACCAGTGCGGATTTTGTTAGCACACCCAACAGAACTAGTACGTAACAATCTTGTGTTAGGATCGAATTCACGCACACACTTACGAATGAAGAACACAAGAATTTTCAAGAGAAAGAGATGAGAGATATATAGAGAGAAAGAGAAAACTCAATATTTCGTGGTAACACCTCATAAGTAAACTTCCACGGCGGTGAGGTATATTTATATTGATAAATCAGAGTATTTTTTGTTACAGAGAATAAATAATAAAGCCTAAAATTTAGGCCGGGGCGCTGCCCCGAACCCCACCTTCAGATGGAGGCTCCCGCCCCCATAACCCCTGGCAACCTCACCGCGCAGGTTAAACCGCGTAAACAATTATATATATTAATCAGGCTCCACAACCTAACATCTTGTATCACTTTTCAAAAAATTACTCCATTTTACCAATTAATCCGATTTTAACAACAGAATTCAAAAGTTTCGTAATAATCTGTGTGTAAATCAGACAATGGAATGAATACAACTAGTAGTAGGAAATGCACATTAACAACGAAGTGGGAGTAAAAAGGGGAAAAGAGGAGGAAGACGAACCATGAAGCCATAAATGAAAGTGCCGAGAACAGTTTGAGCAAGGGTAACAGCAGAGAGCTCTGTAGGTCCAAGATGACCACAGAAAGCAACAGTGATAGCATAGAGTCCGTATTGACAGACGATGTTGAAAGCGATTGGGCCTCCAATCTCCCATAGCTTCACTGTCTCAATCCAGAATACATCCCACAATTCATTCATACTCATGCTAGAAATAGGCCGGTAGTCACCGTCGGAGCCGATAAGCTGCCAGTGCTCGCCGGAAAAGTCATTTAGCAATGGTGATTGATCCATTACTCTCGTCTCTGACTAATTGCTTCTTACTTTTCACTTGTTATTGTAGCTTAGAGTAGTCATCTAATTTTTTTCAACGGGGTAGACAGCCAAATAAATAAATAAATATTATTTTTGATGATTGAAGGATTGTTATTCGTTATATTGTATTTGGATTATTATTTAAAATATATAATATTTTACTGTTAAAATTTTTTGTTATATAATAATAAACTTTTTATTTTTTAGAACAATTAATTCTATGTGTTTCTATTATTTTATGTTATTTTTAAATTTATCAAAAAGCTTATAAAATTTAAGAATAAATTTTAAGAAAATTCAAATTGACTGACTTATTTTAACATGTATGGGATAATTTTATTGCACGTGTTTGGCGGGTACAATATTTCTATTTAGATCCAATCTTTTGAAAAGGTACCAAATCTTTTTACCCATTTCATTTTTTTTTAGCTCACCCTTCAAAAGCTTCTAGAAAACACTTTTTACTTCGATACTTTAATTAGATCAGAAAATTATTTAAATATATTATCATATTTTATATTAATTTCATTTTTTAAATATTTATGTCAATATATGGGTTATCTGAAAATTTATCTATTTTTGTAAAATAATTTTGTTCCTATGATTTCAGCCACATTTTTCTTCTTTTTTTTGTGTCAATTCTTTTAAATTGACTAAAAAAACTGGGTCATATAAATTAAACATGTATATTTTTGTGTCATATTAGGGATAAATAGTTTCAAAAATCTATGTTTGAGGGTAAAATATGGATTCGAAGCCAAAAGAATAGCAAAATTGAGTTAAAATTCCAAAAGAGTAACCCGAAAAAATTGAATCCATACCTAAGGAAACATGTTTTAGAATTTAGAAATATGTTACTCTTTTGACCTAATTTTTTTAAATCTGTCTCAAAAATAGTAAATTTTTCAATTTTAATATTTATAAAACAAATTTAAAATCACAAAATCTAAAAAAAAATCTTATTTCATAAATTTCATGCATAATCAAATTGATAAATTCGACTTAGAAATACTTTTTAAATTTCGTGTATATAATTGAGAAGGATGAAGTATAAAAATAGGGATATTTGCACGTGAAACTGGTTAGACGGCCTCCACAAATAATAAATTTTTCACACATCCCTCTAAGAAGACGGCGTTAGGTCCTTTATAACGTCCACCTACCTTCATCAATTCAGGTAAACTTTGTGCTATACAAATTTTATTTAATTACTTTTTTTTTCATCGGGTGTTATATAAAGTCCGATTAAATTCTGATTGCTCATGGCAATATTGGAGCTCCGACTAAACCTTTTACCAGAAAATGATATTACATACAAGCAGAATCTGTACTATTTGAAAATCCACATTTCTATTGCTGAGTGTATAACAAAAGAAACAGATTTTACAAGTTTCAAACTCAAACATAAACAAGAAAAAATACATTATTTCAATGAATCAATCATAAACTTAAGCAACACCACCATTCTCAATAGTTAACTGCCCATCTGCAGATTTCTGTGTCTCAAAATCTTGACCTCCCCACTTGCGCATACGCTCCGTCGTGTCGTTAACCTGTAATTTAAAAACATTATAATTAATACTAGTAACATGTAGGGTGAATTTCATGGTTTTAAAAGTCCAAAACCATACCTCCTTGTTCCAGTTAGTCTTATACAGTATAATCAAGAGTAGAAGAGTCTGCAAAGCTGCCCCTGCTATCATCCCTAACCAAAGTCCCTGTACGACGCGCGTAACATAATTTGAAAGCTGTCAGTGAAGCAATGTGAACGAATTTTATTCACCTGTAAGTCAGTTCTCTTGTTGATTTCGATAATAACTGTTAGTTGAGTGATCATCTGACATATCAGCTCAAGAACATAGAAATATTGGTTACCTTTGTTCCTAATTTTGCTACATAACCAAGAAGATATCCAAGAGGGAGTCCAAAAACATAATAGCAACCAAGATTGATATAAGCTACTAAAGCTTGCCATCCACCTCCAACAGCAACCCCTGCAATCAGGATGAAAAAACACGATAATATTGGTGTTCCGAAGCATTAAAAACACAGAAATGCTGAAGCAAAGCAATACCTGATATAACCGGCTGAACGCTATTAAGGACCATGGTAATCCCTAGAAGGTAAGCAAGATCAGCAACAGCTTCTTGCATCTCCTTGCTGTTTGAAAAGATAATGGCCAGATGATCTCTAGCTACTAGTACAATTACCATGCAGAGTATCCCTATTAGGAGGGACTGAAACACCGTGATGTAGACCGAGTATTTGGTAGCTCTTGGATGTCCTTGCCCCAGTTCATTTGAGACTCGGATGCTGTTGGAAAATCAAATAGTCGTCAACGACAACAGTATACCAAATGTATTCCGACAGAGTGGGTCTGGGGAGGATAAAGTGTACGCAGACCTTACTTCTACCTCTGACTCTGCTCAGAAGGTTAGGTAGTCAATAGACCCTCGACTCAAAACAAAAACAGACTAAAAAGGCGCAATGAGAGTACAAGAGACAATATGTGTAGTAAACAAAACAACACATAGTAACAGAACAGTTGTAGAATACTACCATAGCACTATGACTACTTGTTCTATTAACCATCAAGATATGTTTATATTATTACCTTATGGCAGCATTAATTCCAATGAAAAGCATGCTCTCCCATCCATTGATGTTCATACTGTGTAAAATCCGAAATTTAACATGAATCAGAAATGAACTTAAAAATCTCACCAATAGATGCACAACAAAGCTTGACTCGACTCAATGAAGCTTAAATGTATCTATCTATCTGTACTCACCAAATTGAAATGGAGCCAACTGCTATGACGGCGTTGTTAAGATGGCCAACAAGGAGAATAATACTCATCATGTACCAAATCTCAAGGCATAACATAACAGCTGAAGCAATAGAAAGTCTCACGAATGCCCAAATCTCATTGAACGCTGACCACGACAACCCTTTCCACCCATCCTTACACCATCCAACAACGTATGCTAATTGAGCCATCGCAGTAAGCCAATTCGTGAGGTCAAAGGCTATAGCAGCACCATTAGTACCCCATTCAAGTGTATATATAAAGAGCCAGAGGAACAAAGCGTGCACCAGCACAGCTGCGAATCCAATCCCAGCGAGAACATCCACTTTACTCTGAGCTTGAAGAAATTTGGAAGTAGGAAAATTGATAGCAAGTGAAAACAACTGTGGGATGAGTAACATGGTATATCTTCCAGAGAGGTCCGCTATTGCAGTTTCTTGGCCTAGCAACACGAGAAGTGGAGTGGTGAATAAGTAAATGGGCAATAGAAAGACACAAGTAGCTAGCAGGATTATGATGGATCGTTGCATATAAACGCCCAACATGTGAACTTGCCCTGCTCCATATGCCTGGCCACATAGTGTCTCCAATGCACTACCCATTCCCATCTGAAATCAAAGCAAATCACAAGATTATTCAACCATACATGATAGATACTGTTGGGTTTTAAAAGGTGCGACTTTTATGAAAAGTTTAACAACTTTTATGAAAAAATTGTGATTTTTATGAAATGTTGTGATCTTTTCGAAAGATTGTGACTTTTTCAAAGGTTTGTGACCTTTCCGGCAAAGCATGCACAATAAGAACCTTTTCACACTACCCTTTGTTTTCTATATATTGAGGGATTTCCTTTCATTTTAGCTGAACAAATTTTTCTCGACTTGTTCTACTACTATTAAATCTAGCGCTCAAAGTCTACTTTACTGCCGTTGAGTGGTTTGCTGACACCGTGATTTTAGGTACCGATACACCTATGAGTAAGATCGTTCTAATCCTGGAAGGATATATTCCGTTAACCTCAGGTATATGAGGGGAATAATATTCTTAAGGGGACATTGTGCACTCAGTGGACTTTTATATTGTTTCTTCTATTTTCTCACCTAGTCTTAATTTTCTAGTTTTGAAAATACTCTTCAAACTTTGTTGTTTATTACCAAGTTCTTCAAAGTTTTGTTTTAAGTATCTTAGGAATACAAGACGAAAACAACATATACAACTATAATTGAATTTCAATTTAGTTTTGTCGGGTACAAATCTTTTGTTCTGTTCACGTAGAATTCATTTTAGTACTTAAATTTGTATTAAATTGAACAAATAGACACATATATGAACATATTTCAGGTAGAATGCCTTGTAGTACTTATATGTCTATTTATTCAATTATATACAAGTTTAAGCGTGCACACAGTTGGAGAACATAAATATCAAATGATTACGTATTATGCGTTTCAAGTAAGATGAGAAGGGAAATTAAAGAGAGAGCTAACCATGAAGCCAAAAGAAAAAGTACTAATAACAGTCTGAGCAATAGAAATAGCAGAGAGCTCAACATTTCCAAGATGTCCAACAAATATATTTGTAAGAGAATTCACTCCATATTGGCAGATTATGTTGAATGCTATAGGACCTCCAATTCTCCACAGTTTCAATGTCTCCACACAGAAAATTGCCCACCAATCCTTTGTACTTTTCGCCGGACGGTAGTCCCCGTCCGCCCCGATAAGGTCGTTGCGTTCGCCGGAGCCGGAGTAGCCATTCAGCAACGGTGTCTCCATTGTGAAGTAAGTAAACACTGCTTCACACTTTAAAATTTCAAATGATCTTCTAGGCTTGCATATATCTTTAATATAAGCAACAAAGCTGTATGTTGATTGGTCCACGTCACTGCCACCTAGGATAAGTAAATGGGTCCCATGTATTTTTTATTTTAATTTATTGGGAGTAGGGGGGGTAATTTTAACCAGTTCTGATCTATTCCTGATGTTAATAATTAGGTTCTAAATTTTATATCTGTATAGGTACAGTTTCTCAAGCTTCACTACTGATTATAAGATGATATTCAAATCCTTACTAAAAATATTAAAATTTAAATAATCGATCAATTATATCGTTAAAAATAGATCGAAATAGTTTTGACCAACCCCCATAGTGCATTGAATGATTGTGGTGCGTGCTACTCACCATTCCACAAACTTCAGCCAACTAACATTTTAGGGGAATTCGGATATTGGGACTCACTTATGAACTACAAACACAAATAAAAAAAATTATTTAACGTTTTATGTTATGATATTATGAAAAATATATAAATATGTCAACGTTAAATTTGAATTTTGTGTTTTTTTTAATATTTTTAATTTATTGCTATAGATTATATTTTTATTTTTTATTGTTGTAATAGTTGGAGTGGGGGAAGAATGGAGAGTGCGCAACCTTTAAAGTCTGTGTCTGGTGAGTAGAAACAATAAAGTGTAAAATTTAATGATATATTGTGTATATTATCCCTCCAGTTTTTTCAATTTGATGTGTACATTTGTTTTGATTAGAGATTAAAAAGAAAAGGTGAAAAATAAACTATTTGATTTTGTTATAAAATTAATTAGTGTGCATGTTTATTATTTTTTTCAGTTTTATATTAGTTGATTATTTATTTTACACGTATATTAAGAAATTATGAACAAAAAATAATTTTACTAATTCACCAATTAAATAACTTTTTGCAATTTTACAAACAAATGTGGGCACTTTTAAAAAGAATTAATTGCAAGAGTAATTTATAAAAAATTTAAGTAATATTTTCTTAATTTAATAAGGTGGACAACTAATATGGACAGTTATTTTTTTAGAAAAAATAAACAGAAATCTCACATTTAAGTTCTCTTATTACCATTATATCCTATTAGTTTTATAAATTTCCAAAATTTCTCATTTTCGCGCATCAGATTAGTATATCTCGGACATCATATTAGTGTATCTCGCGCATCAAATTATGTATCATGTATAAAATGTTCTTCAGATTATTGTATCATGTATAAAATATAATGTATCTTATTTAACAATTATTGTATCTCGCGCATCAGATTAGTGTATCAATACTTACATTATTGTATCATCTTGAGGGATTTTTGTAATTATAAACTTATAAGGGACAAATGATAATTTTGCCTTAAAAATATGTGATTTCTGTCATTTATCGTCATTTTTAAAACGATGATCAACTAATACGTTGACGAGCGACTACTACGGATATGGGTAATTATCTTCCAAATGTGAATATTCAAATGTACCAAGTTAATTATCATTAATTGTCTTAGATATATTTTAAGAGACAATTACTAGTAACAATTATATTTTAAAATAGGTATATATCATTAATTGTCATTTTTTTGTTCTATGCTGTGTCAAGGTTAAAATTTAAAGTCAAGTTTAGGATCTAATATATATATTATATCTTTTTGTAAATATCGTTAATACCTATATATAGCAACATTGGATTTAATTATAATTAAGTAGGTATATTTGAATCAAATTGTACCAACTTAGCGTCTTTTTAGTTAATTTTTTAAAACTCAAATTGTATATGAAAATTTGCAGGATTATCGAATATACAAATCAGTAGATCTATTGCAAACATAAAATTTGATATGGAGCGCAGTTATATAAATTATATCTATAACATATAAATATGATTGTTATCTTTTGCTAAATTTAAATAAGCAAAAAAGGCCTCGCACGATTTTTAAAAATAATCATATATATGATATTGGATAACTTATTAGCTACCTAAAACAGAAGCTACCTACATCTATTTATTCAATTTTGTGATAATTTAAATATTTATGTATATATATTTAATATTAAAAACATAATTATTTAAGAAAATTAAATAAAATGACATATTTATATGTTCTGTCACAAACAAACAAGCGTAAATAAGTCTAGACTTTTGAGCCTTGAAGATGAAAACAAAATGAGCTTAATATCTTTTGATTAAACGTATTTATAGTAAGAATTCATTAGATATATATAACTATTGATTTGTAAACCCAGTAAGAGAATAACTATGATAATGTAAGGGTAACAACACCTCACAAGTCACAATTCTACTCCTAGAATTCGAATCGATTTTCATACGTATATCAACTTGGATCGAGTGATATACTATATGTTAAGGTTCATTCCTGAGCATTAGAATTGCTTTGGATGTGAGTTAAAGATCATAATGAACCTTTAGCACAAAGTCAATAGAGAAGTTCTTTAATGATATTTTACTATTTTTAGGTTTATTATTCAAATTATAGATTTATGACATTATATATGTTAGGTTGTGGAGCTTGATTAATATTTGATGTACTGTCATATATTAATGTTTACGTGGTTTAACCAAAAATACTTTGATTTATTAATATACATATACCCCACCGTCGTACAAATTTACTCACGGGGTGTTACCACGAAATATTGATTTCTCTCTTTCTCTCTCTAGATCTCTCATATCTTTCTCTCTAAAGTTTTTGTGTTCTTTATTCATCAAGTGTGTGTCGATTCGACCCTAACAATATAACGATATAATTTGAATTATTATATTTCTTAAAAAATAGAATACCATACAATGCAAAACAATATAATTTAATACGATACATTATGAAATTATTTGTAACAATCATTCAAACAAAATATAGTATCTTTTTTCATAAAAATAATACTTACCACAAGTTAAGCGAAATTCTATTATTATTTTACACGTGTAGCATATAAAACAATAAATTAAATACAACTAGTATCTTAAATGAAATAGTAAAATTGACAAGATTAATTCACATTACTGGCAAACAAAATTATTTCCTTAAGAAAAATAAACACGTATCTTGATCAAAATATATTATATACTCTTTTTTAAGTATATTTCATTGAATATTCAATGAGTTCCTTCGTGGAAATTCGATAAAATTGAATATTCAATTATAAAATCTTTAAATTATATGATTATCCATTTATTTTTCACTTTTATATTTTTTTTTATGGAATAATTGAAATCTTTTCACCCTTAATAAATATATCTTTTAAAATATATATAAATATATGAATATCAATTGAAAGAAGCCTAGGTTACAGCTTGTTGAGGTTAATATGAACTCCCTCTGTTTCAAGTTATTTATTTTGATTTTCTTTTCATTAGTTCGTTTAAAAACACATGTATATTTTTTCCTTCCTGACAGTTCTTTCATTTGGATTTTTTTTTACATCACATGTTTAAGATTATAAAAATTAAACGATATTTGGTACATTAAACATATTTTTAATTTTAAAAATATAAGATTCAAAAAGTCTTTTTAATTTTTTTAAATTCTATATTAATCCAAAATAAGACAAACAAGGCCCGACCCAATTTCAAAAAGGAAAAATTGTATGAAATAACAAATTATTAGTTCAAATTAAATGCTATAGTCATAGTTTCTTTTATTTGTAATTGCAACAAACATCCCTTATCTTTTTGTCATCCCATTTGTATACATACAAATAGAGCGAAATATACAAATACAGGACCCGTTTGTATACAAAAATACACAAATGCAGGACTTATTTGTATACTAAAATATACAAATAGACCAAAATATACAAATGCAAGACCCATTTATATACCGAAATATACAAAAGCATGATCCATTTGTATACCAAAATATACACATATAGGTTCTATTTATATACCAAAATATACAAATAGACTCAAATACATATTTTTTTTATGTATATGTATACCGAAATATACAGATTAATAGTCAGAGCAAATATAAAATTTATTATGGAGCACAATTATACAAACTATAGCTATAATATTTACTAAGCCTAAAATTTACTCAAAATAAAACTACGTATACACTATTCTTTCAAATTCTATTAATGGAATTATACTGAATTTGTTATTGATATTGATCATCTTGGATGGATCATAGTGTATCTCTCTCTCTTTTCTTTTTGGGTTTTCAATCTTATAGAGGAGTGAAAGTAGGAAGCCCATAAAGAAGGACCAATTCTTCAATATTGGGCCTCCAAAATGAATTTTAGAATGTGTACATTTTTTAAGAAAGTTATGTTAGACATGAATTAAGAGTAATTTATAAATATTTTCTTTTTGATTTTTTCCAAAAAGAAAAATTTAAGAAAAAACACTAGAAACGGGTAATTCTTTAAAAAATAATTAATATATTTGATTTTGAATTTCCTTTTTTGTTTTGGACCACGTAAGAAGTGCGAGAAATTCATTTATTTTGGATCAGAATATTTTCTCTATCCACTATAAATTGCAATACTTTTCATTTTTAGAGTCAAATTGTAAAAAAATTGATTAACATTTTACGATATATTTTTTCATCATATTGATATGTAAAAGATTTGCAACGTATAGTACTTTTCATATAGTTTTTGAACAATAAAATTTTTTATTTAAAATATCGAATTAATATAATCTAATTTAACTTTTAAAATTAGTCAAATTGACTTACTACAACATGACAAATAAAGAGGACGAAGAGAGTATTAATTAAGTAATTGAGAAATGCAGGTGCTTTAACATTTTGAATGTTTAAAATTAGATAATTACACAGCTTAAGATGATATTAAATCATGCATAGGTTCTGAATTTAATTCTCATAGTTATCTAAAAAAATGTAGGATATTAATACCTAATACTAACTAATTATAAAGTGATTTCTTTGTGAAGTTAAACTTTTAGATGAATTGATCTCATAATATAAGTCAAATTGTTTTTGTAATTTTTTTCAAAAGATTTATTAGGATATGAATTATCAAAT